TTCCAATCTACTCTCTGATATGTACAAACGATCCTTGAAGAAACATTCCAATCTACTCTCTGATATGTACAAACGATCCTTGAAGAAACATTCCAATCTACTCTCTGATATGTACAAACGATCCTTGGGCTTCGTTACCCTGATTGTGTTACCTGTGTAAATCCTAATCCTCCCAAGTGAGACACAGACCATACAAGACTAAAGAGAAAGCATGGTTCATGCACCTACCACCAGCCATGTAAGAGTCAACGTTTGACTATGTTTTCAGCACAAAGGTGAGACGTGCCTTTCTTTAATCAAATGGTCCATAGGCCACAACAAAGAAAAGATAGTGCCAGCTTAAGATGACTGTTTTGTGCAGCAAAACCTGGGCAGTGGAACAAGCAAGCTTCAACTCAACTGGGACACAGGCACGCTCCAGCCTTCCCTTTCCTTTCCTGTTTACAGCATTTATCCAGTGAAGCAGCTGGCTTATCGGGGCCAACAAGCAGACTTATTCTGCAGTTATCTGTCCTCTCGAGGAAGGATTGCTTTATGTAGCCTGTTGCAAAGTGTCTTCCTGATAACAAAACTCCAAACACTTTTCTTGAAGATGATTCAAAGCCACTGAGGGCCTCAGAGAAACTCCTGGTTTCACCCTTCTTCGATTTTCTCTCCTTGCTTCTTGATACAATGTACGCCGCCAGGAAGTTAATTATGTTTAAGGTGTTTTAACTATCCACTCTAAGTTTGTGGCCAAATGGATCTCAAACCCTTACTTATTGTTATGTCCAATGTACATCCCAACTAAAAAAACTGCATATATATTATAACCATATCTCAATATTAAAATATCTACACATGTTTACCAATGATACAGAAAAGAAAAACAATAGTCCTTGATTTGACTTGCAAGACTTTTCTTTAGAAAAGCTTAAATGAAAATTTGTAAACATTTCAAGTCTTATTTTCATATCTAAAATGGAAATGATCTGTGACCTTTCTGGGGGCTATAATATGAACTTGAGTTTTTGTTTTTGTTATGTGAGTGCTAGCGCATGCTCACAATCCTGTTTTACACAGTGTTAGTGCCTCTACCCCTTCGCTAAAGTCTTTCACCTAACACGCTTCTGCTTGACCTGACCATAAGGCACAGCCTGAGGTCATTCTGCATTGTTCTTCCTTTTCTGTCATAATTCTTTCCTCCATTTCTGTTTGTCTTGGCAGATTCCTGTTCTTTCCATTAGAAATAATTAATCCACTACAGTGCTTTCGTAAGATGGCTTCTGCAGTTAAGTCTTTTATCAGAATCTTGATGTCCACGCAGTAGAAATCACTGGGAAGAAATAGAAGCATGCAAAACTCGTGAAAAAATGAAGACATAGAAGCATGCTAAATGTGAGAATAAAAATGAAGATGCAGAATCATGCTGAACATGTGAAAGAGATGTTCGAAATGACCCTTATTTCACTGGAAGCTAAATGTCTATAATAAAAATCTGACTTAATTACAGTAATCTTATTTGAGTTCCCATAATTTGTATTGTTTTCAGGAGAAACATGGTAATTGCTATATTCACTGTGTAATGCTCTGTCCTGAGATACACTGTCCTGATGAATTCTAAATATGCTTTTGGGTAATTAGAATGCCTCTGTGTCACTTTTGTCTTTTATTTCCATTATTTTGTTTTCAAGAAAAGTGAGATATAAGTCGGACTGGTATTTCAGCTGAGTAAGCTCTCACTGGTATCTGGATTGACTCAATATAACTAACTTGTCATCTCTGGAACACACAAATGATGTTTCTTTCCCGACAAAACACATGCACACGGTTTTTCTTTTACTAGTCTGATTTAAAAGTTATTTTAAATGATGTGTGTGCATGCATGCATGTGTGTGTGTGTGAGCATGTGAGTGTATAAGCATGTGAGCATGTGTTTGTGCATGTGAGCATATGAACATGTGAGCATGTGGGTGTGTGCATGTGTGTATGTGAGCACATGTATGAACATGTGAGCCTGTGAGTATGTGAGAGTATGTGCACCTGTGCATGTCAGCATGTGTGCATGTTAGCATGTAAGTACAGTCTGTGAAGGAGACAAGAGGGCCTTGGTCTTCTGCAGTTGTTGTTATTGGTGGTTGTGAGCTATGGGGCTTGGGAACTCATCATGGATTTTCTAGAAAAGGATTACATGTTCTTAACTACCTCTCTTTGGCCTCATTTTATTAAATTGTTAAAGATAATTTTTACTTTTTGCAATGATAATATAACTAGACTATCTCCTCCTTCTTTTTCCTTCTCCCATACCCTCTCATATGTCCCAATTCTCTCTCAAATCTATGGACTCTTTTTCTTCAATTGATGGTGTGTGTGTGTGTGTGTTTGTGTGTGTGTGGTGTATAAATATTTCTAAATACGTAAGTATAACCTTCTCAGTCCTATAATGTTAACTTCTGTGTATGTTTTCAAGGTTAACCATGTGCTATTGGATAACCCGTTAGGGGCTCTTCTCTAGGGAAGAGTATTTCTCCAGCTCCCAGCATTCCTTCATTGCCTATAGCTATTTGTCTTGGGTTGAAGCCTCATGATCACCCTTGGCCAATTTGGTTGTCTGTTGGCCCCATCCTTGTTCAGGTCCTGTTTAGGCAGCTCTGTTGGTGAGGCTTCATATGTGTAGCTTCTGACATTTCTAGGAGACACAATCTCACAGCAAACTCCCAGTCCTTTGACTCTTACAATCTCCCTTCTTCTGATGTTACCCTGAATCTCAGGTATTACAGTTCTGTTGTGTAGGTATCATTTGACCTAGCTTCCAAAGTCTGCGATTTGATTGCTTGTGGGTTTCTTTGATGGCCTTCATATGCTGCAAAGGATGACTATACTTCTCTGACTAGGCCCTGGAGAATATGACTTTTATTAACTTTAATAGTTACCTTACAAATGAATGAGTGTTGTTATAGCATTTTCATACTGCACACTATGTAAAGATTTTAAACAAGCTGTTTGGAGTCTTTTTTGCATATTTGAACATGTCCAGGGAAAACATCTTTTCAAATGTATCTCTAAAATGCTTACGAAAATACCAAATTTTATGGGCAAGACACCCATGGGGTCATTTGTCAGAGTGACTTTTGATGTGAATATGTGAGATAATTTTCGTCCTAACTAGACGTGGTTACTAATTATCGGTGCTTGTGAATGGAATGTCAAACAAGCACTCTTCGGCACACAATAGACTGTCTACACAGGGCATTTCCTTGGTCAGCAACCCGAATGATAGCCTGCTGCTACTTATTCTTGCAGACATTGATTTCTATGCATTCCTAAAGAGAAGGATGCTCCTGACCACATCCTCAGGGTTCTTCAGGGAGATGATGCCACTGCTCTGGGTCTTAGTTTCCTCATTGATAAAATACATGTCCCTTAGAGAGCTTGCCTTTTGTGAAATTAATCTGACATTATTTAGTGTTGTGTGCCCAGAAGAGATCTTACCACTGTTTCTTGGGTGCCAAAAGGCTGCAATTTAAACCTACACATTTGGAGAAGGGTTATTGAGGAATATTGAGAGAGGAAAGCAGGGAACAAGTGGGAAGCAATGATAGTGGAAGACTGATTTGGCAAAGCGGAAGGGAGTTGAAAGAGCCCCTTAGAAGGGAACACGGAAAAGGCAGTAATTACAGAGTCTGTCCTAGCAGTGACTCTTGACTGAAAATCACTTGTCTGCCTGTTTGGAGAGCAGAGAACAAACTCAACACTGAGTGAGTGTCCCAAATTCTGCTCTCAAACAAGCAAAAGTTCTCCTCCATGTAAGGATTCAAGAGAGGCCATCCTCTACATTCATGAATATACATGAGCACATAAGAGAAACAATGATTATTTTAGCATACGTACAGAGTAACTTTAGTGAAGGCAGCTTCTGTAAAGAAGGTAAAAAGGAGACAGCACACTATAATCATTCAACAGGTTCACAACAATGAAGAGCTGCAAAAAAGATGTGTGCGTGTGTGTGTGTGTGTGTGTGTGTGTGTGTGTGTGTGTGTGTGTATTGGAGCAGGAGGATAAGTAACTGTAGCTACAGTGTGGCAGTTTAGTTACAAGAATCTTGGAGAATTAATGTAAAGGGTATCAACGGAAATTGTTTGGGGATTTTTTAATGGCCTACATAAATGACAGCAGAAATGGCAGAAATAATGAAAGCAAAATTGAAAACAAGGAAAAGAAAAGACACAATGAATGGCCATTGTTTTAGAAGAAGGGGAAAATGTAACCCAGAGATTTGGGGAATGACAGTACAGGGAGACCCAACATCTTCCTGAGATAAGACAAGTCATAGCATCAATGAGTGACTCAAAGATGGTCTTAGGTAAGGGAGAAGAACTTCTGGAAGTTTCTGGTGATACTTCAAGGACAGTCTTCAAGTACTAGTAAGAAACTATTGAGTAGGTGCCATGAAGAATGCAGTTACATAAAAGAAAAACAATGACATCAGTAATGATTAAATTCTAATGATATTTAAAGCAAATTCCATGGAAATTTTTATATTATTTTCATTTAAGTCAAAAGCAGAGTTAATGTTTACTAACTCATACTTTTCAAATAAATAGCAGTAACTATTTCCTGTATGTCCCCTGGATGTGTTGCTTATGATCACTTTGATAAGAGAAACTTTTCATGAGCAGAAATGGAGCATTAACAAGCCCTTACAGACAAAGAGCCTCCATATACTTCACATAGAGAACCACTCTCTCCTGGGAGGGCTCTGAACTATAGTGCTTGAAACTTGAATAAGCACGTTCCTACAAATAATAGCTTCCAAGACATGTTTTCAAAAGCATAAAATTATCAATATTTTTAAAGTGAGGGCAGAAAAATTTGTTGATTGGCTTAGAATTAAATCAATTAAGAAGGTTAATGAATACATCTGTCCATAGGCCTGCTTTAAAAGCTGAAGTTCTTAATTCATAATAATCACCAAGAAACAAAAACTCAAGAATATTAGTATTAAAGTTGTTTAACATTACCCTCCAAAAGAAAGACCGCACAGAGAAGTGAGATCCAAACACTTCATTTTCTGAGAGTTCCTAAAAACAAATGAATATTTAGCTAAATTTTGAGATGTTTTGAGAGTACTAGCAAAATCAAAGCAAACTGACAGTCAAAAGTCATAATTGAGACACTTTCATTTCTGTGAACTACAGTTTCTCCTCTTGAGTTGATTACTCTCTTCTCTCTGTCTTCTTCATCCCCTACGTCACTGAGGACAAAGTGTGGAGGTAGTTTCTGTAGGTTTTAGAGTTCACTTACCTTACCTTTTGGTTCTTTTTTTTTTTTTTTTTTTTTTTTTTGGTTTTTCGAGACAAGGTTTCTCTGTGGCATTGGACGCTGTCCTGGAACTAGCTCTTGTAGACCAAGCTGGCCTCGAATTCACAAAGATCTGCCTGCCTCTGCCTCCTGAGTGCTGGGATTAGAGGCATGGGCCACCAACACCTGGCTACCTCTTTGTTCTTAACTGCTCATTAATATATCTCTGAGTCTGATGTTTTCTGACAGAGAATATAAGTACTAAAGCACATTGCACAATTTTAAAATGAAGCAGACAACATTGTTTCTTTTCCTAAAACATTTGTGCTAATTATAGACTATGGGATTGTTTTACAATACAGAAGCGGAAATCTTATTAATAAAGCATGTGCCTAGTTAAATTCTTTATAAAATTTCTCAAATTTCCTGGTGTGGTACAGTATGTACAATAAATACAATGCAAATGACTTCATTAGGTTGAGCTCTGAGCTACACCCTCACCCCAATTAATTACATTTTAAAAGCTTCAGTTTCTGCTTCCTTTAGACTGTACAGTGTTCCAGTCTGTCCCTGAGTATCATTACAACGAAGTCATGGGATGCTGATGAGAGTCTGGGGCAGTTCAGTTCTGACACTGTCAAGAAGAGGAAACAATATTACTGTGCATTTTTATATTATTTTGTGATAACTACTAGCATTATAGTGGTCTACATCTTACATTATCTCTAAGGCATAGTCAGTACTCCATACATTTTGTTAACTGACCAACTAGCATTTGATTAAAATCTTATGTTTTACCAAATATGAAAAAATAAAGTAGAAAATAATATTGAGCCAAGATGTTCTGGAGAATTTATCAATTTGAGTAATTTAAGATTAGACAGAAATGCTTCACAGATGACTGTGTAATTTAACCAAATATATTTGTTAATGCAACAAATTATGATTTCTAAGTTGCTTGCTTAGAGTTTGGTCGGGTAGAATTGCTTATGGCAGAAATAATCAGGAAAAGGTTTTTTTTTCATCTAAAATATCATTTGGTCAGTAATAAAAGGTCATGATTTGTTTATATGTATATTTTATAGTATTCATGTGACACACTATCACAGTAGAATCTAAGTAACAAAAAAATCCTTTAAGCCGGGCGTTGGTGGCGCATGCCTTTAATCCCAGCACTCAGGAGGCAGAGGCAGGCGGATCTCTGTGAGTTCGAGGCCAGCCTGATCTACAGAGCGAGTTCCAGGACAGCCTCCAAAACAATACAGAGAAACCCTGTCTCGAAAAACCAAAAAAAATCCTTTAAAAATTGCACTTACATTTCAGCTCCTGTCTTTTTTCATATCATATTTTTAAAAAGACTACTCTGAATTTTAAGTTAAGTATCAATTTTTAGTTATTTATTACTGGTGTGTGTGTGTGTGTGTGTGTGTGTGTGTGTGTGTGTGTGTGTAGTCAGTACTTTCCTGTCATTTTGTGGGATCTGGGAATCAATTTCTGGTCATAAGATGTTTGGGAATGTGCCCTGACCCATTGATTATCTCTCTGGTTCCTTATCTTATTACCTAAGTTAAAAAATCGCCTGGATTTTAGAGAAGTTTATGCTTTCTTTTTAATTGCCATTTCTCTTCACTTTGATGTGCATGTTTGTTAGTATGTGGCACAGTTTTAAATATTAAGTTGCAATATCATATTTGAAAAATTAAGTGTAGGTTTCACTCTATGCAAGTTGAGGCAGTATCAAAAGTTGTACATCTAAACGAGTTTATGTAATAAGGCATAATGTGCAAACTAAATAGAGATGAAAGTTTTACCTCTAAATCCAGCATAAATCCAATAGTTAAAAGTAGTATTAGATCATTTAAAGCTTTAGGTATCCTATGTGACTAACACTAAGTTGTATGAATATTACTTTCTAGTCTTCTTCAGTTAAAAGCTGGCATTTACCTGCTTATTGGCTTAGTTACAAAGAAGAAAAATCAATCTGGTGGTTGGGGTCTTTAATAATGAAAATTTAGGATTGAAAAACAAAACTATTGGAAACATTAGGATCCACCCTAATCCCTAGGCTTTACTTTTTAGACCCATACTAGTCACTAAGCTGTACATTTTGTGCCATGTTTAATTATTTTTACCACTCATCAGCTACAATTTTTAGTCCATTTTACAACCCACATTCTTATGTAAATTTAGGTCTTTATTTCAAGTGAAACAGTTTAATTTTCATGTGGTTTCTAGTGTCATTTATTGAATTAGTATGAAATTTACAATAGACCAATCCAGGAGTAGTTATTATGGGGATCACTAGCAACAACAAAAACAATAAGAAGAAATAATAACAATAGCAACAATAGTAATAGTAAAGAAAACAATCATCACAACACCAATAACAGCAAAAGCAACACCAATAACAACAATTAAAACAATAAATGCAACAATAAACAACAGCTACAGTAGTAAATGTAATAACTACCACATAACAATAGCAGCAGCAGCAGCAACAAAGTGTTAGCATTATGATGAGTCCTAAACAAAAGTACTGATTTGAATTTGGAGAACACAGAGCAATTGTGAATGCTAGAGAAGGCTTGAGTCAATCATTATGTAAATATTAAGTAACACTTCAGTGTCCATCAAGATAAGAGACTTCAGAGTGCGGAAAAGCAGCAGTATGGGAGTGCTAAAATTATAAATCAGCACTGAAAGAAAATTGAACACAAACATGACATCAATTTGATAAAAGACAATTGTCAAAATTATGCTGAATAATGAATGGCTGAACCGTTTCTATTGAAGTTTCTAATTTATCACACCACCAAGATCCATTCGTTTTGTGTTACTTAGGTCTATTTCTGCCTTCAAAGTGTTTTTGCACTATAAGGAAATTTTTCCTCAAAGTTGAAAATCCAAACTATAAATCTAAAATTTAATCATATTTTTAAAATTAAAAAATCTAAAAGATAATTTTCCTTCAGAAAAATAAAAGTGCAGTTTTACCAAAAAATTGAATATAATAATATTTTTTGGTTTTTCGAGACAGGGTTTCTCTGTATTGTTATGAAGACTGTCCTGGAACTTGTTCTGTAGACCAGGCTGGTCTCGAACTCACAGAGATCTTCCCGCATCTGCCTTCCAAGTGCTGGGATTAAAGGTGAGCGCCACCAACGCCCAGCTGAATATAATAATTTTTAAAGTATACATAAAATAAATCACAAGAATCTTTTAAGATTTTGTTATCAGTTGGAATGAGGATTAACTATCAATATTTTATTGAAAGTAATATTTTAAATTTCATTAGTATACAGATCTTGAAACATAATTCACATTATTACAATGTGGGAATTCTTCAAGAATCAAAATACTCACAAGAGAAAAACTTGAACCTGTGGCCCTAAACTTCAAGTGCCAGAATCAAGTCAGTATTCTAGATTACATGAGCCTGCTTTTATATGTACATGAAAAATTTATTTTCATCGGTGTTATTTTGGACATTAAAGATACTGGAAGTACTTGTAAATTCATAAGCAAATCAGTTAAATAAAGTTTCCTTGTCAGATAATCATTGTTCGTAAAAGTTAGGGTCATGGGATGCTTCCATCCAAACAAAAAAACAATGATCTAGAGTATTGACTAAGCCTTTGGATAACTATGTGAACTAGGACTTTTGTATTAAAGTCACTGAAAAACTATGAATTATTTTCATTTGAGTATTTAAAGTACTTACAATGAGTAAATTATCTACCATCTATCATCTATCTATCATCTATCTATGTATCTATGTATCTGTCTATCTATCATCTATCTATCATCTGTCTGTCTATCGTCCATGCGTCATCTATCTGTTGTCTATCTATCTATCTATCTATCTATCTTCTATCTATGTATCTATCATCCGTCTGTCTACCGTCCATCCGTCATCTATCTGTTGTCTATCTATCTATCATTTATCTATCTATCAATCTATCTATCTATCTATCTATCTTATATCTGTCTATCTATGTATCTATGCATCTATAGTCTGTCTGTCTATCGTCCATCTGTCATCTGTCTGTTGTCTGTCTAGCTGTCCATCTACTGCATGCCTACTTACCTATCACCTGTTCTTCTATTGTGATGCCACACTCATATCCGTGTCTGCCTTCTGGTCCATTAACCTGGAGTCAGACGCATTAATTCCCCCCTTCTAACCATCTCAAGAAGGATCATTGGAAATTCGTTGGTACTTTGTTAGCACATTCAAGAAGCAAAGATCAATTTGCAATCAGGCAATAAACATCTTAAACATAGGACACAAGCTTGGGGTTTCAATCTTGCACTCAGGGGTACATTTTATTCTTTTAATTATACCACATCATCCATATTTATCCAGAGAAAGCCACAATATATAAGATCACCAAAAACAGCCAAATAAATGTAATGTCATGATTATAGTAATCTAACATTATAAATTAAAGCATATAAAATCTTTTTTATGTCTGTAGGGAAATATGAAAACATCAAGGAAAAATAATTTCACTGTAAGATCAAAGTATGGCTTCATGTACTTTGTGGTATAATCAAATATGCTAATATGTAATATTTATAAAATAAGCGAGCTTATTACAAATGTAATAACTGAGGTCCAAATGCATGATATATAATAGAACTCATTGCTGTTCATCATTTGTTACTGTTGCATTTTAGAACCCCAGAACAATCAATTCCAATATGGGGTATTATTTTATATTATTTTAAAAAAGAGTTGGTAATAAAATAAAGCCATAGTAAGGAATTTTAAATAAAA